AATCCTTAATGTCATCATTTTATATGATTATCTGTCTATCTATTCACTCCTGACAATGTGTTATACTAAGAAATAAATATTCCTCTATTTGTAGCCTTGAAGAAAGTAGTGAAGCCGACTCTGTACGCAAGGCAACATGGAATTCAGCTTTAAACGAATACAGTCGAATTTCTACAACAACAAGTGACACGCTGACTAAAAGAACCTCGACCACCACATCCAGCTCTCTTCAAAACCTGATCATTTTTAGATTTGATGGAGAAGTAAACGTGTTTTTCACTCCACTGTTGTTGGATGCTTTACAACGGTATGTTGATAATCTCTGTGCCAATTTATTATTTTTTTAGAGAAGTGAGCTCATACCTTAAAGGTCCACGTGTATCCGAGAACCTTTGCACGATTTTCTCGCCATCTTTGATTTCTGAACAATTCAGGATCAACTTTCAACATAAGGTCCTTTGCAAAACAAAACAAACAACCGCAGAGTTTCTCGGGTGCATGGACATCAAGCAAGAGGAATTTGTGGATTTACGCATAAATGGACGATTAACATGATGCGAGTGATCGCATGCGACTTGACTTGTAAGGCGAAATCGTGTCAAGTAAATGGCGGCCTACGACTTGTCTGAACGTTTTGAACCTACAATACGGTTAAACTCGTACGACATGGTCTTCATAACGCGTACACATCAATTCGCGCACGCCTGTTTATAGGAGTTTCAGCTTTTCTTTATGCAGGTAAGGGGGGTTTTCCATAAGTTAGTATGGATGGTCTGTCAGTTTGGATGCAATACCAGAAATTTATGATTATTTTGGGTTGAAGCGTGCAACAGTGATACATTTCTTATGTTAAATGCTTTCAAATATTCAATTTGTCCGCGTTGAAACCTAACTCTGCAAACTAAGTACGAGACATATTTATTACGATGCTGTACAAACCTCCTCTAAACTCATGAAGTCATAACTGGAGACAACCTTTTTGTGACACTGGTGAAAAACGCACTGCGCATGTCCACAGCTTTCCCGCTAAATCTGCCTAATTTCCTTTGTAAAGCGATTTTTGTGAAAGATTTTTACAATTTATATATAAGATTCATATTTCCATCAATCATTGTTCATGATAGGTCCTTTTAGTATGTAGTTTCTATTTATATCTTGTCATTTCTATTTTGAGAAAATGAGGTTTTTCGTAGTGTTTTCTGTGTTGTCGCTGTAAATCGTCAGGCGCTCTGTTTACAGATYTCAAGACGCGAGCGCCCACTGGCGGGAAAGCTGTGGGAATGCGCAGTGCGTTTTTCACCAGTGTCCCTTTTTGTAACATTTTGTAGCTATATCTTATGCCGAGCGAAAACCCGTTACTTATTAAGAAGTATCTCCGAACAATGAATAATCTCGATGTCTGATGTTTATTTTTGTTAATTATAGATATACAGCATCGATATCTAAACAGGACAGTCTTTTGCACCCATCTTTGGTTGTAGATCTAGTGCATGACATGTGTACAACTACCGCTGACAATATCTACAGAAAACGTTTAGATGAAACTGCAAATATGGACGATGCACTTCCTTGCAAACCAAACGAAATCACTGCCTTCATAAGTACTTCAAARATACAYCTTGCTTTCYTGCAAGTTGCTTTTCCCGAGGTCGAGACTAAAACTGAGGTCTTTACAAATGATGGCGAGAGGAATGTCATGAAGGAACCCAGTACTTCAATTCTTGCTGGTTCGTTTGAGGGGATTTCAACCAAGTTGTTGTCAATACAAAAGGCAGCAGATAATGTCACCAGYTCAAAGAACAACTTGGAAGATACCGAAAACCTGTCAATGCAGAAACCATCYGAGGGAAGCGTCGTGCATAAACCATTCCATCGTAATACCTCATCCGTGATGAACATCAAATGTAACGAAGCGCAGATCCARCTCCAYGAACTGTGCAACAAGGAAGATTTCGAAAAGAGCATTACTACTGCTATTGCAGACAACTTGTCAAGAACTAAATTTGCTTTAAATGTGGACCATTTGCATAGCTTAACGGACTCCTATAATGTGGATAATATACCACCCAACTCATACATGAACTTGCTTATGYTGGAGTGTGGACTCGAGAACATTACAGTGTGTGGAGGAAGTGAGTGTGGGGGTGGCAGTGAAGTGATTCCTAAGATATATCAAAAGCACCATGTCACAAAACCAAAGACGAAAGTTCCACAGGAGAAACCTAGCAGTCCCGAAGAACCAAAGTTTCATGGGTTTTCAAACCCACTGCAGGAAGACACTGGGTCCGTCGTGCTCAATATGGAGAATGATTATTCTAACAAGCTTGACCTGTCATCGCTGTCTTCTAGTATCAGCTCATTGTCTTCTTCAAGTGGAGGTGATGAATCAGACATGGAAAGCGAAGCAGGTATACGGCTACTCATATTATCAGTTATGTGAGGATTACCATTACATTAACACGCGCTTGACAGCATTCGGTGAGGAAACGCGAAGTAATCGAGCGTCTGAATAACTCAATGGTATATAATTTGCTTTCGTGTTTTTGATTTGTTTTGCTTTGCTTTTTGTCTTTGTTTTGTTTTGTTTGTTTTGTTTTTTGTTTGTTTGTTTCTTTGTTTGTTTGTTGTTTTTTTTTTACGAAAATGTAATACGTTTTGCCTTTTCTGTAAACGAACTATGTAAAGGAAGCAAAATGAACTAATGTTGGGGATTATTCTATTTGGGGGATTTTTTTCACTGTCGATCGCAGTCTTTATAGKTGAATATCAACCATTTTTCCATAGGTGAACAGCAGCAACTGCTGTCCTCAAGAGCTGAAAAAGAATCCCAGAAAAGATGGCATCACACCATACAACATGTCAGGGATTCTTTTATAGACAAGGTTCGTGTAAAGTCATTGTCATGAACTCATTTGCGAAAGACATGCATGCAGATACAAAGGCGGCCATTATTTAATGACTATAATTGTTTAAATGACTCCTGCTTTTGAGATAATTTTGGCCGCAATCCAAGAAATCTCAGATATCTTTACTTACTTGTAAAAAAAACAAACTCTTTATTCTTTCAAATTGAATTTTATTTATAATCTTTAAATTTAGGATGTCGAGCTTGCTCGTCGTATCGATGYCAAGTTCCACTTTTCAAGTATCTGGTTTAATATTTCCTCACCACCGTTGTCAAAGACACTGCCTTCAACTTACCATCTTTACAACAGTCTGGTGACTACCATTGTGCCAATGTCAATTGCCTGGATTCCTGGAATTCTCGAATTAAAGGAAAAGATTGCGGCTGTGCAAAGGAGTCGCCATGATCGTTTGACTAGTGTTATTGCTTGTCTAATGTCGCAGGCTTTACCTGACCATGGCAAGATTCCTAAAAAGGTTAGTTATCTGTAGATGCCGGGATGGATTCAGTAGGATTGGTATATATCGGGTCCACCTGTTTGATGAACGGTGATGAGGTGCGTTCGTAACTCAATATAAATCTGAATCTAAATACGGAAGGATGCATAATAGTAGTAGAGGTCCCTTCAAAGTGTGTCACTTCTCTCTATGTGCTTAATATTTCAGTTACACACTTCAATGTCTTTTATCACATACGTAAAATGAGTTATTTCGAGATCCTCGTATATCTACAATTCTAATATAGATGTAATAGTACGRGTGCTCTGATTGGTCCAAGAGCGTGAGCATACCTGACTTTCTATATCATAAAAGCAAAGGATGGAGTGACGTKTGTTTATCGATGAAATAAAGCACTTGGGGATGTTTTTCCCATACTTTATTGCTTAATTCACTTCCAACATCGACTATCTATTGCCGTCGCCCTCGAATAAACGCCAAATGACGGAAGCTCTATTAAGTTCTTTGGCAGAAGTAAATACGGCTCATGAAATAAACGCTAAACGTAGGAAAAGTATGTTTGATATTTGACAATATTTGTTTTATCAGCATGGAATCCACGTGCTGGTTARCGATACTGCACGTTATCTCCAAGAAGACCATTCCAGTCAGCTTCTATACACCTTGCGAAAGCAGCTTATGGGATCACGACTTGAGAAAGTACAGTCAGCACTGATACAGAAAAACAGTATACCAGACAACAAGAAACTTGTCAAGGTATTATTTAAGTCATTTTTTTTTTGATCATGTATTGAAATTATTGTACTTATTCAGAAATTTTTATTTATTTATTTTTTTGTTTTATTTAAATCTGCGTGTCCAGGGAATCTTTGCCCTTGCAAGGCAATGGAAGTGTTTCTTGGCTGGGACGGAAAAGGGAGAGATTCTGTTCTATGGTACAAACTCCATCAARCGTCATGTTGTGGGACGAGGAGTYCTTACCGAGAGAGATCGCGCCATTTTAATGAAAGAGGACGACCAGCAAGTACAAGAGAACACCGATCAGGAAGTAACTAGCGATGGTGGCCAGGAACAAGGAATTCCAACAGGAGACCCGTCGTCCATCAATTCTGATGACAATCAACAAGAAGGTAAACTATTAATTAAATAGCAATAATAGGAGCAATGTCCAACAATATGATATGTAACCAACAATAACAACAGCAGCAACGGCAGCATCACCTCCAACAACAACAATAGAGCAGCAACGGCAGCATCACCTCCAACAACAACAACAGAGCAGCAGCAATTACAATATGGCTTTATGCAATGCCAGTAACATCAGTAACACAGATATTTGCAAAAAACAACAACAACAACAACAACAATAACAGTATCTGTATGCAATAATCAACACAAGCGATAGCCGAATTACACGAAAACACTCTAAAATATACCAACAACGTCAACAACAACAACAACAACAACAAAAACAGTGGTGTGCAACACCAACATCAATAACAATAGTATCAACAACGATAGCAATAACTATTACAACAACAGATATAATACCACCATACAGCAGTGGACGTAACAACATCAATGACAACGAAAGTTRCGATAAGTCATTTGAGATTTTATAGATTCACGCTCACTTCAAACGCCACTGAAACGTCAAATTGGCTTTTCTTGGACAATTTCAAACAAAAATGAAAACGAATCGAAAGAAAAAGTGCAGCGCTCATACATGAGAAAACTTTATATTTTATGTGCAAACCCAAAAGAGCGGAGCGTTGATACATAAATAACAGTGATCACGTGATTTGTTTTTGACGTTTTGCGTTCGAAAGAAAAAATTAATCTAGATCTCTCTCCATGGTTTGTTCCATGCATGCTAACCCCTCTCCCGGAGTGAAACCCTTTCGAGTTTCTATGTAAAGAAGAGTTATATTACGGCATCGATAAGGTAACCCTTCCATTGGGGTGAGTCTAAGTGCTTTACGCTTCTTTTTCAGATGAGACATCCAAGCTGTTAGATTCCAATGGCCAATCCATGCCCTTGGAAGAGATCCATCACACACAGCGGTCACCACTAATAGGAACATCAACAGCAGCACCTGACACAGATACAGAAACCGATGAATCACCRCCTACAACAATGCGCAAAGCCCCGCAAAATAAGCATCTACTTGGTGTTGATAACAAGAAATATGGCCACAGGAAACAGCTTAGTCTTTATAGTTGGCTATCGAATACTCCTGCCACTTCACCTAACACCGCAGCAAGACCAGTAGCTACAGACGGTGCAAGACCAACTAAATTGACAATCCAGTCACCGCTAGGTATGGCTCCATACCTATGCTTTTTTCACATTTTCGAATTCAAACCGAAAATCACCTTCTTTATTTGACAACAGTTTCTCTTGCACAAAGACCTGACCAAACACAAAAGAAAGCGCGAGAAAATATCGTTAAAAAATATCAAAAATTTACAATATCCATGAAAATTTGCATTTTCCCCGAGTTGAGACTAACCCTGTATTCCCATAGGACATATAAGGTTTAAACTTCTGGGAATACAGATTTCCAAAACTTGAAAAACATTATAAAAAATAAATCAACGTTGAGTTTCTCTATCGTTGCAGTTTCTCCAATTAAGTCAGAACAGAACAATAAAATATTTGGCAGCGAAATGGTGAGTGTGCCGACCAGTGGAAAAAAGATTCAAGATGAAAAAGAAACATTCAAGACCTTACTTCAAGCTATAAGCTTAAAGCCTAAAGTAGCGGAGGAAAAGGACACTGCCAAAACGATTTCGTTAACAACGACATTAAAGTACGTATATCAAGGAAAAAAACAGACTCCTGTGCCATGTGGGATATAATGAATATAATACACGCATGCGTGATGATCATATTCCATGTATTTTTGGTTCGCAACTCCTAAAGTCGTTTGAAAAGAACCGTGAKCATCTTAAATAAGTATGGAATGTTTGYAGCGATGTAAACAAGCTCATATTAAGGCCAATAAACATCASCTGTAACYATAAAARGATTAGTCTTCCTTGAAATTGTMATCTTGCTTAAACAATGTYGTAAATCTTGTCTTATTTTCACTGAAGAATTGAAGTTAAAAAATATTGTTAACATTCCAGACATTATTTAGGTGCAGACGGTTCTTTTCAAACGGTTGTAAAACTCTTATTTCTTCTATTATTTTCAGATATATTCGTGTAGATTTGGTGGATGGGGAAATTAATAATTTATCTTCAAGTAGTAAGAAGCGAAAGACGTCGAAGCAGGTTAGTCACGCATTATGTATCACTATGTCACGGTGTTCTGATGCTGCAGTGTTTCATAACGCTGTCAACTGCAAAAAAGACCTTTCTTTTATCATAAACACCTATTTTATTAAATGTAAAACCCTTCCATGAAAATCCCTTTTTCTTCATCAATCAGTCTTCATCAATTTCGTTTTGTCTTCTCTGTCCTCAGCTTTTTAAAGACGACGAGCCAATTTTCCTCGCAAAAGACTTCAACTTTAGACTACTGTTCAGCAAATCTCCTATGAATGCTAATATTCTTGGCGGTGATCTTCAATCCTTGTCTAATTCCATGATTAATCGGGTAAAGTTTAGCGTTGGGGTTGGCAACATTACTCAGAAGGTGAACTTTCCTTTTGTACGACTTGTGATCCACCTGGTTGACATGGTGGATGTACTGGCAGGTCTTATCAAATCAAAGGTAGT